AAAAATTTATATCACTGTGTAGAATGATCACTTTTGTTTCGAAACAGGGTACTTCTCAGAATTTTTGGAAGTTTTGTTTTCTGACATGTTGTCTGCATGAAATGAACATATAACAAGTTTCCTAAAGTTTAATTTATGGTTTTGTAAAAATCGGGGCCTTACTTTTTTTGCTGCTTTTAACTGGCAACTTATAGACGAAGTTCAGTAAACTGCTTGACTGCTGTCAAGACCATAATATATAGAATAATTAAATATATTATTCGCTCAGGAAGCTATATTATTCAACATATTGTTCGTTTGGTGTCAGGATTAACTCGTATGCTAAAGCGACAGTTCAACTTCTGTTAGAGTTGCTGATTCCAGTTTATTGGGCCGACTGTGGCATTTTACCTCATACTTACGTTCACAGATTTGCTTGTTTTCTTTTGAATTTGCAATCATGTTTGTTTTACTTGATGTAGCTCTTATGTTATTTGATGTTCTTGTCTAAACGTGATAAAAAATTTGTCGACCCAGCGAATTTATATTGTGAAGTTTTACTTCTGAAGATGGTCCACGTATGATCCGAAACATCAGAGACTGTGTGTATTGCAAAGATACTCTTCCGTGTCATTGCCTAAGAAGTTTATGCCATTTTGATTGCATGTTCGCATAAAACATTCAATGTTTGTTTTTAAAACATCACCTCATGTTAAATCAACAAAGCTTAGCCCTGTTAATGCTACGGTCTATGTAGCGAAACGCGTCGACAATAAAATGTTGTACTCTTTGCAGTGTTTTGTGTCCTGAACCATGAATCATTCAACTTTTCCTATAACTGTGGATCCTGAATCGAAAACTGAAGTATTATTTTTGAAATCAACAGACCTCGTGCTTTATTTCAATTTCACATTTTAGTATTTATTATTCACTGCTTAAACAGAGTCTTAGAATGCTCCATATTTCAACAGAGATTAGGATTTTTGACATGAGAACAAGGGCACAGTTACAATGCGAGGTACGCGGATTTTGTGATGTAGTGTTCCGGTATAAAAATTTTGTAGCTTTGCGGTGTATGTGATATGAGACACTGCACCATAACCAGTTTCGTGCTTTCAGTTGAACCAGTCTACACCAGAAGCTTCAATATTTAGCGCCTTACGGTGGAAACCATTGTTTCTGTTACGTAAAATGGTATATCGTTGATTATTTTGTTTTTTGAAACATTTTTGTCACTTAGGTTTTTTGATGCAACATCGCGATGGCCGGAACATACGCCTTGCAGATACTTGCTTTTCGCTCCCGTAGTTTATATGCATTGTCAAAGCGGGTAATCAGAAGTTTTTATATTCATATAACAGAAAGTAGGCCAAATATAATTATCTTGCAGACAACGCATGTGATCAGACTGCAGAGGAATCAGGTTGAGGGAATACTTCCACTGCCCTACTGAAACCAGTGCACATCGACGGGAGATAGACTTATACTTAACGAGTAAGTCAAAAAAATTCTTAAGGCCTCTTCTGTAACTCGTTAGTTGCATTTCGAGAGGTACCTGATTGTCCTGTGTGTATTGAACTCGATCTGCACCCGTAGTCATCCATATTTTCAAAGGTGAACCGTTACCACATCGGGAGAAACGCCTGAAGGTGCATTTTTGAACATCTGTCTGTATTGATGAATGATAAGACCAGTAGACACTAAGAGATAATGCAAAACGACTCGTAAATAACGATGTGCACTGCTCGTTTGAAAAAATGATGAACGCCAGTGGTTACCACCAAGTCGTATCCACGTGATAGTTAAAGTCCGTCAGGTGCGACTCAGAAAGATCTTTCATCTGGCTTGCCAGAATCATTACGGCAAATGAAGGTCAGCGTGGTAGATCAGTGAAGATATTGCTGTTACCAGTACAGTCCCTCTGATTACCGAGCCCAGGGCGATCAAACTGGGTGTATAATGTAGAATCATGCTGACTGATCTCTGAGCACAAATCTGACGTTTTTAGTGATGTATATTATTTGCGCTGTGTAGCCTGTGGTGCTTAATATTATTAGATTTTCTATTTATGTCCACTATCCATATCCTGCAGAATACGTTCATAAATCTTAAAGCATTTTTTGTATTTATTTTTTTAGTTATTTAAATTTGCTGTCAATGAAGATGCTCATCCAGATTTGTTTTCAGTTTACGTGGGTGGTCTCCCGTGCCATGCCGATACCGGTAACACCTACAGGTACCGAACAGGTGTCGCCAGATACCAAGCAGGAATATCAGTGCTACGAGGTGTTGCAGCATACTGGCGAAGTACGCGCAACATTGGTTAAAGTTCTTTTAATAAAAGACTTGGAAGGTACGTGTTTATACGTTTGGAGTGATAAACTTTTAGTCGAGAAAATGTAGGGGCTGACCAACTTCTAGCAAATGTTCATGTGTTTTAGCAAATGTTTAGCACATGTGATTCTACTTTTTATATGTCGTTATTTCATGATATTGATACTTGGTTTTATACCTAATCGTTTATGCAGGTTAAATGATGGTCCCCTATTTACATGGGGGTGTGCCAGCTCTACCTTTTCTTACAAGTCATGTTCAATATACACTTCAGACTTGCATATACCGTATCTTAGGTTAATAAAATAAAGCGAAACGTGATTAGAAGGA